AACCATATTAGATTCATAACAGATAAGTGAGATTGATTTACATTTCTTCTCGAGCCATTTTTGGAACTTCGTGTGATCCTTCTTTTATGTGTCACTTCTTTTAACAAAAAAACACTTGGATTCCTTTTTTATTCCACTTTGGGAAGGTATTTTACCTTTCCCTTTTCTTTTGGCTTGTTTTTTTGTCATTTCATTGCGTTGCCGTCAATGCACTTTCACCTATTTCCATTTGTCAATCTCTCTTCCTGAACACACGTGGTCAAAAGTTCATTAATTAACCATTTATCCATATGCATGTTATAGGATATCTTGAAGAGTCCACATTGATGTGGAAGGGTGTTCAAAATATATAGTACACAAGGAAAGATTCAGACATATCAACCTCAAGAGTCTTCAATTAAGCAGCAATGTCCCTCATTTGCATGATGTGCTCACGTACATCTCTCTCAGTAGTGATCATCATGGATGAGAACTTCACAATCAAGGTGTTGGCAAGTGCTTTGTCTAAAGTCTCAAATTGCTCATCAATAGCCTTCAGCAATGCCTTAACATTTTTACGCTCTTCGACGGAACCACGAAGACCAGCAAAATCTTGTTCTCCATGAACATCACACTAAGGAGATTGGATTGCTCCCATCGTTCATAAAGAGCAATTTCATCTGGAGTGCTGGTCGGAGTCATTTTTTTGGTTCGTCTTTCCTAATGGCATAATCAATGTCTATCCATCCCAAATGAAGGAGAATTCTCTCTTTCCAGACTTTATAGTTTCACCCTTTAGTTTGGGAACATCACATTTGATATCAGAGAAATTCGCAGATTGTGAAGCTGCATAATGCTTATCTTAAAATTGAGGCTTTTATTGAGTAGATTGTATGTTTTACCAATGTAAGTCATGCTAAAATTGAATATAATGACATAAGAATTGCCTATGGGCTAAATTTTTAATTCAATTATATTTAATTATACCTTATGATAGAATTATCAAATCACATTTTACCAACGCAAAATTATACTTCAAAATATGAATCTAGTGACACAGAACTTGCATGTGGGTTAAAGTCCTACTCAATTAGATTCACGTATAAACTTTATGATAAAACTATCAAATTACATTTTACCAATATAAAATTATTCTTCAAAATATGAATCTAGTGACATAGAACTTGCCTATGGGCTAAAGTCCTACTCAATTAGATTCATATACAAACTTTATGATAAAGCTATGAAACCATGTTTCAATTCCCAATTCCTGTAGGTAATTAGGAGAGTAATTTAATATTTTGTCCTAGTTGATCATACAAATAAAATTTTCTGTGGGATAAAATTCACTATTTTAAGTATGATCAACCTCAATTAATGTCTTTACCCAAATATGTGTTCCTATACTTTAATATATAATTTTACATAATTAAGGATGCTGTGGCTACTCCCTAATTAATTAAATTACATGGATCGCTCGACATTATAAATATAATTCACAAAATGTGCTCGTATAAATTGCACAAACCCATAAGCAATATGGGCACTCAAATTAAATGTGCTAAATTATTTTTCTCAATATTGCATGTATAACAAAACAAGAAAATTATACATACAAAATAACAAAATTAAATAACTTTAGCACGCAAAAACAAAGTCAACAAAGAATTCCCATTAACTTCCAGCACATGGGTCCACAGTGAGTTCTTAGAACTCAAAAAATTCCGACTGTATCAACGTTCAAAAGTCAAAAATGTATTAAAATATTCCAAAATAATAACATAACCAATTTGTTATGAAAA